ATTGGTATTTTACCGTTGATCGCTCTTCAGGCGCTCTTAAGAAAACAGATCCTGGTCCGCAATAAACAATGAGTACTTTTGAACGGCAAGAAACTCAACTGCCTATCTTGACTCATTGAACCGTGAACAGTCTCTCGGTCACACTAGGCTCATCCAACGTACCCACAACATCATACAACAATGCGCGCTCATTATCGATAGACTTTAAAAGCTTTCCATGGCATGAGTTATGTCCACGCCGCATCCTTAAGTTTTCCAGGACGAAATCAGCGAAAATGAGGGATATTTTAGTGAGAATATACGCCTACAGACATAATAGAGACAAAAAGGTCTGTTCGTGCATAAATTTAATCGGATGGATGCTGACAGCTACTTATAAAACAGGATATGTATGCTTCGGGAGAACCAAGACTTGGACTCCGATAGCTATGGGTAATCGGCATCCTCATCCTGCAGGTTTCGGCATAGACGGACACGATGAGGGCGCCCCTGAATCGAGCCAGGGTGATAATCCAGCGGAAGTCTTCGAACTGTACTGACATCAACTCGGAGGTGGAGAAATCTCGTCCAGCGGCGCAGGAGAGTGTAGGCAGCCAACAAGCTGGGCAAGAGTGAAGAGAAGTGAAAGAGAAACATGAATCTGTCGGTGATGCACGTGTGGGGAATCAGAGTGTGAAGCATGATCCAAATAAGCTTTTGGCGTGGATCAACTTGCATCGCATCATTGTTTCCTGATCTCCAGCTTCTCAGCTTGATTCAAACATATCACACATCATGCCGTTAGTATTCGAACTTTCAGAGATTATATGCTTCATCGCCAAACACTTCTACACGAATAATATCTATAACTGCGCTCAGGCCTCACGCTTATTGCATACAGCTTTCATTCCATTCCTCTGGGATAAATTCATGCTCATGCCAGCCGCCAACATTCAGGACAGCCTGTCCGCAGGCATACACACACCCACCATATTCGTCGCCTCACCTTTGGGTCACCCTTCCTACTGAGTACCATACTCTACAGTTCGCGAATCCTCAGAGGCTCGAGTTCGCCCGGAATGACTACATGGACGATCGCTATCGGGAGGAGCCCACAGAGTAGCACTTCCAGGACCAGATACACACTGTTCAATTGAATCCAACCGCCGAGATTCTCGTGCTCAACGATGTCTGTCCGGGGCCGTCAAGAGGATTTTGGAACATGATCATTAAGAAATGGAAGAAGCTGCATATGCCGATAATACGCCGAGGATTCTTTCACGGGTTGCCGTTACTGGCATTGGAGGCATTCCGAGAAACATGTGTCAGATTTGAGGTACTCGAGTTCGCAGACACGTCCCTGCCGCTGATAACGATCCTGATCGACTTCAAGTTCTCGCATGTCAAAACACTAATGATATGTTTTCTGCCTGACGAGGGAAACATTGACCAATACATCGCTGCATGTGGACCGCTGGACCAGCTCGAGTTCGCAATGAAATTTCCAACCCTGGAAGTACTGTATTGGCGCACTTTAAACGGAACGACTGCCCTAGTGCGCGAGTTTTAATAGGCACTCCTGAATCAAACTTGGCCATGACTAGATACTTTGCATCTCTTTGGTAGCTCAAAATGACGGATGAATACGAGGAGCCGCTGTTGACAAGCGTTGTGTATCTGTTACCGATGCTGAAGAAATGAAAGATGTCGCAATGCAGGATCGGACCATTATCGCTCAGTCGCGAGTTGGACAGACATTTCACAACCATTGAGACACTGCACTTGGCACTTGCAGTTGGAATGACAGGAACAATTACCCACGAGATGATGGCACGGTGTCCTGGATTGAAGTGGTTTGAGACGCGATATATCCTGGCGGAAGATATTTGGGATTCATCGTCACGGCCATGGGTGTGTGATCGTCTGGAGCACCTATCCGTCTTTATTGCGTAGCCCGAGAGAAGCCCTGAAAGATGCAATCGAGTGATCTTTGAGCGATTGTCACGACTGTCACGACTGAATCGATTGCCATTGGATGGAATATTCTACTTACAACGCCCAGAAGCAGAGATCCTGGAGCGCCCAGCTCAGGGATGGTCAGTGGATTTGACACTAAACTCGGGTCTAGGACCACTTTGCGGTCTTACGAGATTAGAAAGAATTGAGTTTAGGGACATGCAGAAGCCGAATATTAGGGTTAAGGAAGTTGAGTGGATGGTTGAGCATTGGAAGAGGCGGTCATTGACAGTGGCCGGGATGTTCAGTAAGAACGAGGTGCAGCAGAATGAGATGGGCAAACTCTTGAGGGACCGAGGCATCATATATACTTGTTAATGCCCAAAGACTAAAAAAGAACGCACCGCGGTGCTCGATTGAAGAGTTTGGGATGAAGAACGTAACACGAATCACTCTGACTCGACGTGCTCATCCGTAGCGGAGAGAAGAAAGATTAGTGTTTGCGATTACTACGGAAGGGAGTAAGTTAATGAATGACTACAGCCTTGCGTGCTACTACAGTGTGCCTCGATGTGGGTAGATGCATATAAGGTGTGCCTGAATCACACAGATCAACCTTTTCGCTTCTTCACCGCTTCAGTTACCTTCGCCTCTTCTTCTTGCACCCGCTACCTCTTACAGTCACCTCACTTCTGCGCCTGCTGTACCACACAAAAATACTCTCCCCACATAGCCATTCCCATACTTTCAGACAAAGAACCCTTCCTACATGCAACTCGACATTGCCAATGTGAATGCGAATGAGCATGCACCTCATCAAAAGCCATGGGTGGTTCAAAAGTTTGGCGGCACCTCTATCGGAAAGTACATTAGTACCATTACTGGCACCATTATTCAGTATGTGAAACCATATACTTGTCCATGCGCATGATTCCTCCCGCATTGCTTATTTCGCAATTGCCCCGAGCTCACTTGGACAGTGCATTTGCCAAATGCCGATGCCAATGCTGGTGCTCATGCAAAACTAATGCTCGACTGTCTCGTCTGTCCCCATAATATGTGTAATAGGTCGTATCTCCCCACGAACAGGGTTGCAGTAGTGTGCTCAGCACGAAGCAGTGAGTCCAAGGCCTTGGGAACAACCAACAGGTAAGAGACGTATGCGATTGGTGGCCAATGGCGTGTTTATCTCCTCTCTCCCTGCCTCTTCCCCCACACTCTAAAATGATGTGATTGACTGAAGATGAAAATCAGATCACCAACGCCCAAAAGCACATTTCTCCCACGCTATTATTATATTATATAGGCTTCTCAAGGCAGCAGCATCAGCAATGGTGCCTGGATCAATCGAGTTCATAGAGACAGTGCAAGACATTCGACAGGACCATCTCCATACTGCTCAGGAACATATTTCCGACCCTGTCATCCTCAAGCGTGTACAAGGAGAAATTAACCAGGATTGTGATCGGCTCCGAACGTTCTTGCAGGCCATTCAGGTGGGTACAACATATCACCTCGTTCGGTAAAAGACTGACAGAAAGATTTGATAACGCAAAAATCAATCTGTGATTCTCATTTTCAACAAGCGCTCTGCGCGTTATCCTTTGCCTACTGGTCATAGACAATCGAGGAAATCTCGCCTAGGTCAAATGACATGATCATGGCAGTAGGAGAAAAACTGGCGTGCAGGATCGTTGCAGGCCTGTTGGAGGATAAGGGTGTCGAGACCCAATTCATCAGCCTGGAGAACGTGATCGAGGCGGTGTTTGATGTTAACAACCTCGACCAAAACTTTTATGACTATCTCGCCCGAGCGTTTGCAGCGGCTATCTCCAAGTGTGGACATCGTGTGCCCGTTGTCACAGGTAATGCATAGTACCATTATTAAGCATCTCCAACCAATGAGCAAGTGATGGACATTAGTAAGGCAAAGCAAGACAAACCCAACTCCTTATTTTTCAATTTTTGATGTTTGCAGGATTCTTTGGCCCTGTACCAGGAAGTTTATTGACAAGCATTGGGCGAGGGTACACGGATCTCGCTGCAGCTTTAATTGCAGTAGGATTGAATGCAGAGGAGCTCCAGATCTGGAAGGAGGTCGATGGTATCTTTACTGCGGATCCGCGGAAAGTCAAGGGTGCTCGGCTGCTCAGCATCATTACGCCTGACGAGGCTTCTGAGCTGACGTACTATGGGTCAGAGGTGATCCATCCCTTCACTATGGAACAAGTCATTCGTGCACAAATCCCCATCAGAATCAAGAACGTGATGAATCCACTAGGGGCTGGGACAATCATCTTCCCAGACCAGCCTGCCTCACGAGGATCAACCCCCAACTGTGAGCGCATGCTATCACCGCCACTCTCGTCCAAAGTATTATTCCAGAATGGATATGAAATAGATCTGTCGAAACGGTATCCGACAGCGGTGACGATTAAGGAAAACATATGGATACTGAACGTACATTCAAACAGGAAATCAGTGTCGCATGGATTCTTCGCGCAAATCTTTGGGACGTTGGATAAGCATGGGATTGCAATCGACTTGATCTCGACGTCCGAGGTGCATGTGTCGATGGCGATGGATGCGAATATGAATGAGAAAGAGATGAACAAGGCATTATCCTTGCTGAGGAGTATCGGGACTGTGGATGTGATGAAGGGGATGGCGATCTTGTCACTGGTGGGTAAGCAGATGAAGAATCTGGTAGGCATCTCTGGGAAGATGTTTTCTACCATGGCCAAGGCTGGGATCAACATTGAAATGATTTCTCAAGGTGCGTCCGAGATCAATATCTCATGTGTAGTCCTCGAGAGTCAGGCGCTGGAGGCCATGAATGTCATTCATGATGCGCTGTTGCGGGATGTTGGTCGAGATGCAGAAGTACACGTTTCATAGAGGTCACAACGAGAGGGTAGCAAAAAATTGATAGAACAGAACACATAGACAAAAGTGACAAGAAGCACGCACACTTCTCTATATCAACTGATGTCTCTTTAGGCGTTGTGCTCATTGATGGTGGCGCGGTCGAAGAGGCGATACAAACAAAGCCTGGAGGCGCAAAAAGAAGGGGGAGGGATTTGAACCCACGACTACCTTTCGGTAGACCACATGAAAAGTTATCTTAATTTTAGTATGCAGCGCCTTAGACCACTCGGCCACCCCTTCGTTTCTCATGTGAGGGAAATGCAACGGACAGTTTTTGTGCTGAACCACTCACTCACAAGAGATTGCACTCAAACGCGAGTGGCTGGTCGAGAACCTTGGAAAACCGACAAAAAAACCCCCTCCTGGGAAACCGACAAGTACTAAAGTGCTGGCGGAGCTCTGAATACAACGAGACAGTAACAATGTCAGCACACAACGAAGCAGCGAAAGGAAAAGAAGAGTTACTGTACAAAAAGTGGCAGAGGAGAGGGAGATTAAAGAGGGCCTCGTCAGTACTACGTTACTGGCTCTTTTTGATATCCAGCAATTGGGCTCCAGATACATGAAGGATCAACTTCATGAAAACTTTTTACACCATGGATGCAAGGCACATCCTAAAAGGCAGACAGTTGTGACTTGCTTATACTGGCAGAAAAAAAAATGTCATTACTGATGAGCACAAATTATTATAATTCTCATTCTACAACCCATCTCTCCCCTTGAATGTGTGCAAGCGTTGATACTTATCAGAGCAGCTCAAACAAGTCTGTCAACCATTTCGTATTTCTTATTGCGTATGCAGATACGGTTACCATATCATACTGAAGACAATAGATACTGAGAACAACCTCGAGACGGAGGATCATGTTTTGTGGTAATGCACGACTTCCCTCAGCGATACCGTGATGTCAGTTGCTTCATTGAAAGATTTTCAGAGAACTAAAGCGAAGTCGGAGGTGTAAAGAATAATGAATAGGACTCAAATGAGAGGGAACCTGAGTCGACATCCTCCTCTGAGTCTGCTATAGAGGATGACTTTGCTGGTAATGCAGATGGCGGTGATGGGGAACGATCTGTTGTGGATTATGGTATTATGGGGGCTGTTTGTTGGAAACTGTGTATGACTACATAGTGTGTCGGTGGATAACATAACCAAAGGAAAGAAACGTCTCGACGATGACACCGGCAGTATTAGTCCAGATATTGAAGATAGACAACCACTCTTGTCTTACATACGCGTCCAATCTAAAATATCTTTATCTTTTTCGACACGCTTTCTCTTTAAGATTCATCAGGATAATGTGATCTGCCAGTTTTCTTACGCGGCGAACCTTTCTATGGATACTGCTCGCAATCCTTTCGATTCTCTGAAATTCTCGCGCGCTGTATATAGTATCCTGATTATCCATTTCACCTGGTACTTGCTAAGCGGATGAGCCCTCACACACCCGTTTGTTTCAGTATAGATTTTCAATATTTGGTTCTTCGGTTCCCAAATTCCAAACTCCCTTTGATCTTGTTCAGTAAACCTCGTTGATATTGTCAATATCCCAAGGTATCCTTAACACCGAGCGTTCCCCAAAATGGGCCAACTTAGCCTAAAAGTGCGCTGCATAGATAGGACCGTATCCTGCAAGGACCATGGCTGGAAACGATAATTTATCGGCCTATAGCTCCATTCCCTGCGTCTCCTAGCCATCGATCGCAGGCTCGGCATTGATCTCCATAATACAGGGTATTAATATGGAAGCATACGGTCTCAAGAAGCATAGCGCTGGCCAGAGGATCTTCATGAGGATAATGAATGAAGCATTATAGCAGGATAACCGTTAGTCACGCGTTTGGAGTCGTTTTTCCTCTATTTTTTTTTTTTTTTTTTT